ACTACAAATCCGTTACTACAAAAAAAATGTTTTTAACCCTTAAAAAACTGTCTCAAAACAAATCTTGAATTCCACTGATTCGCGGAGTGTGGATCACACATGATGTCTTATATAATTATGCTACTTATGATATCTTGTATAATCACATTACTTTTTTTTCTTTTTTTTTTCTTTTTTTTGAACAATAATCACAATACCTATTAAATTGTTGTTGTGCGATGAAAGGAACTTTTCTCTACCACCTCAAGAATCCAAGATTAAGAAAGTAAACTGAAGAAGGTGAAAAGCAGAAAACTAGGGCAAAAATCACTTTACCTTAATTAGCGGCCACCTAATGGATTAATCACTTACGCTCACCAGTCGCAACAACGATAAAGACAAAGACATCCAGAAAAGCAAATAAAAGGAACTCCAAACTTTGAGCTCTATCCTAGTGCTACTTTAAAAAAGGCAAAGGTGGAATGCCGAGGAGATTCTTTTAAAAGCGTAATTTTTTATGAACTTTTTATTAGATTGTTAGTTTATGTTTTTTGTATATATTTGATAATGTCGGTACAAAAGTAAATGTTAAACTAGTAGGTGATAAAGAATCTATGAAGACTCTCACAAAGTTGGATTCTTCATAAGAAAAATGCTAAGAAAGCTCTCTCAAAGTGAGACTGTCTGTCACCTTATGTTTTTTTGCACAATGTTTTATAATGGCACGTGAATTGTGTCAAAAACATGAGGTGTTGACAAGTCCACGGAGAGTCTCACTTTTGAGAAAGTCTCCTTAGTATTTCTCTCTTCGTAGAATCTCTGCTACATCACAATTTAACGTCAATTTCAGCTAACATTATAAAACATTTTGTCAAAAACCACGAGGCGGTATAAAAAGGAAAAGGATCATCACCGGATCTTTTTCCTAGGGATTCAGCAATCGTGTCCGTTCATTATATATTGTACGGTCAATTTTCGTTAGGTAATATTTATATTTGAATTTTAAATTTTAAATGATTTCTAACTTTACGATGTAAGATGAACCGATAGAATTACAGAATTCCTAGAAAAATGATCCGGCTATGATCATTTTCCGTATGAAAAGTCCACTTTTGAGAGTGACCTTTTGACATTTCTCAAAATATATTTTAGGAGAAAGGGCCCCACCAGGGCGGAGTATTAACTAGGGGTATAATTACAACTTTTGACGTTAATGGGACCAAATCATGAAGGGGAAGGCACGGTTGAACAGTTGTGTTCATATCCATAATTCAGTTGCTTCAAAAGATCGGCAAACTTAAAAGCATCTTTAAACCAAATAATAATAATAATAATAATAATAATAATAATAAGAGGAAAGCCAGGACAATTTTTTGAAAACTGATCGCATGAAAAATAACATTCAACTTACATAAATATTCTACGTAATCAGCGCAAAGGATGTCGTTCGATCTATAACACAAGAGAAATAAAGCATGGTGGCAGACAGAGGGGAGAATGACTAGCGTATGCTTTCAGAATGATATATGCGTCCTAAACTAATAATACAACGTGAACTTGTTTTGCAGTATTTTTAAAATGATTGAAGAAAAATTCTTAATTAAAATGGAAGTAAAATCTTAAAAAAACACTCGAAGTGTTTTGTAATTCAAAATATATTCTCTAAAAGTACTTTTAGTTATCTTAGAAGTACTTTCAAACTAACAGTAGGATCGCCCAGTAAGAGGAGGTGGGTTTTCAAGTTATTCAATTGTAAGCATATGCATGTTCTTCAAATATATTCCAAAGACTATGATCAAGTGAAACAAAATCAAAATTAAGAAGATGAAGTGAGGGAGGGAGGCATACCTTTCTTGGCCGGCAGTATCCCAAATTTGAGCCTTGACGATCCTATCAGCAACCTTGATATTCCGGTAAGCGAATTCGACGCCGATGGTGGGCTTGGAATCCAACCGGAATTCGTCTTTGGAAAACCTGGATAGCAAATTCGATTTGCCAACTCCGGAGTCTCCGATCAAAACTGCCTTAAACAAGTAATCACACTCTTCATCGATCGAATCACCCATCAACATGTACGCTAATTACTTGATGATCCAATTAATTACCTCTCTTAAACACTCATTAACTAATTAATCATAAACATACAGACAAGCTAAGAAAACTAGAAACAATTTGGGAAGAGGCAGAGCAAATGAAAGGTGGAGGAAGAGACCAATATGTTGGACATATTTACATATATATATATATATATATATATATATATATATATATTATGTGTGTGAACAAGTCCAAATCAGTAGAGCATAAGGAAATGAATTGAAATTGTTCATTTGCTTTTGGAGGGTAGTGAGTCCTTTACATGTGATAACATTGAAAAGGACATGATGACTGCTCCCTTTAGCACAAATTAAGCAAACTTTATTTAAGACTTACGTTGGGGGGGAGGTCAGCCTCACAATGAATTGGCCATAAAAATTGATTCCGTATTCGCATTTGGCTATAATCGAATCTAAAATGTCTCACTTATAAACTAATCAAATGTAATCTTGAATTCACCTCAATTCTTTTCTTTTGCACAAATGAATTTAGTCCTCCTGACAACTTATAATTGATACTGTTAGCGAGATACAAAAATCTCATTTGCATTGAAATAAGTGTTCGATTAGTCTAAAAAATTGCGTTTTTAGTGAAGAGTCGTTTGTTGTCACTCCCGATCTATTGAAGGTGCCTTGTAAATTCAAGATTTGGATAGTAGATAAAATAAACCGAACTCGTCCAGCGATAAACAAGGGATGGTGAGCATGACTGCCATTTAAGGTGGTGAGCAAATATAATTCCAAATTTGAATGCTGATAGCCATCATGTGACCTAATAGTCGCAGTATTTTGTGACATGATAGTTGACACGTGATTGGATTTAGATTTACTTGGTACTGAACTTCATATTTCCCGTGAAACAACAGTGTCCAGCCACATTGACCAGGCCTGTCCTTACTGCAGAAACAGATTGGGCCTTATGATGAAGCCCATTCCGTTTTTGGGCTTCAAAACTTATCTGAATTGTTTTACATTTTCCCTTTCGCATAATTGAAGGGAAATTTTTCTCATCCGCAACTACCCAAAACAAATTATTCGGACGTACTTTCTTCACATAAAATTAACATATTTGCTATCAAACTCTCTAATACATACGAGTCTAATTATTTATTTAATTAAATCAAAGCATCATCATATTAGAATTAACATAATTAAATCCTACTAATATATACGAGTCTAATCGTATTAAAGAGTATCGACGGGTGCGCAAGATATTAAAGAGTTTGTTAACAAGTGAGTGAGGTTTGCGTCTGAATATCGTCACACGTTTCCTTATTTAATTAAATCAAGCAATGGCTGCCTGGCAGGTGTCGTGCTGTCCAAAACTTTGTGGAGGCACATCCAAATTTATGACCACGTTAGCCTCAATCCTATTCATATTTAAACCAATGATAGTGTAAGTTCGAGAGACAATTTGGCAGTATTATCAGGGTATCTTCTCGGGAGAAATAAATTGTAGATGCTAAAAATACTTTTTTTAGAGGGAATTTTTTTGCTCACCACCATTTAAGATTGATTTGATATTGATGTACTTTGAAAAAAAAAGATGTTTCTGCTGTGCTGTGAGAATAAGCAGCTATGAAATAAAGCAGTAGAATGTTTGGTAAACTTTTTTGTAAAAGTGCTTTTGGAAAAGAAAAAAATAGTATGATAGTGTTTGGCAAAATTTTATATAAAACAGTTGTGACGGTGTGAAATGACAAAAAAATGATATAATACTATATTATTTTATGATATTTTATTTAATATAACTATTTTTATGTGAGGATTTTGTGTGGCCGTGGGGCCCACACCCCATTTCCCTTATCTCTGTGACTTCATTTTCCTTCTACACTCTCGAACTCTCGAAAACTCTCAGCTCTCTCTGCACTCTCTCCTCCACCGAGACAACCCCACACACAAACCTTCAATCTCATACCATTTCACCACCAGATTATCATCATCTCCACCCCTACAAATTTAATCCCAAGTTTGGATTACAGGAATCGTGTTTTGGGTGTTGGGGATAAGGAAATCTAAGAACTCAAATCTCTGAGCTCTTCGGCAAGAATCAAGGCAAAATCAGTCATTTCCCTTCTTCCCATTTCACCCCTCTATCAGATTTCTCAGTCCCCAAACACCAAAACTAACCCACCTCTTGGATCTCATCGCCCCTCCCTCCTCTACATATCCCTCCCCCACCATTCCCATTCCCCCTTCATATCCCACCTCCCCATTTCCCCATTCCCATCTCTCTGCGGGAATCAAAACGAGGATCTCACTCTGCTTTTGCTTTGCTTCACTGCACTCCAATGGCTTCCTTCACTGTCCCCTGTCCCAAGGCGTGCGCCGCCCCCGTTACCCTCCTCGGTTCCTCCGCCCACCTCTTGGATCTCAATGCCCTTCCATATCCAGCGAAATAAGAATATCAACTATGAAGACTCGATCTTCAACCCAGCAAGAAGGAGAACCGGAGGAGGGTATTTTTTAGATTGTGAAAGTTTCATTAAATTCTACTGTTCACCCATCTCTTGACCAAAAAAAAAAAAAAAAAGCTGGTTTTGAGAAGCAGCATTTTGTTGCTTTAGCTTTTTGCCACTTTTTCAGGTTAAAATGACAGGAACTTTGAAAATAAGCAAACTTACCAAACACAAATTTTACTCCAGCGCTTTTTCATCCCTGCTTTTGTTTTAAGCACCTCAATGCCAAACCAGGGCTTAGTGTGATGTATGCTCATCACCTTATTAATCACCGTTAGATGAGTTTGAATTTTAAGATTTGTACCTATCCACTATACGAATCTCAAAATTCAAACTCATCTAACGGTAATAAATAGAATGATGCACATACATCATACTAAATAATGGTGAGAAAAAATGCTACCTCCTATTATTTTGTTCAAAGATGGTTTGGGGTTACTCAATTTTTTTTTTTTTTCAATAATAATTTCTTAAAAAAGTTGGGACTTTTATTGTATTTGATAAGTTAAAACTATTGGTCCAAAACAGCTCTACACATCATAACAGAAGCAATTTCAAAGGAAAAAATACTAACCCCAAACTAACAACTAAATTAACCACGAGCTGATGGTCCAGTAGTAAAGGACGGATGACGAGGCTTCATTAAAATTGAAAACTGAAGATCTCGGGTTCGAAACCTGCTATTGATGTGGAACCTAGACTTGTGGCCAAAAGAAGACTGAAATGCCTCCGTGAGTTTCCGATCCCTGAAAAGGGTGGATAGCCGTATAACTTACTAGCAGTTGACCCCCTTTTCAACTCGACCTCCCCCTTCTCTCTTTCTCTCAAATGGGTTCGAGCAGCAGTCGACGCGCCCATCTCGGCCCCGAGTCTATCGCACCGCCAGTCGTTCCAAACTCTCCTCTTTCGTCTGCGGTGGCTCCTCCGCACCTGCTACTCACGAGGTACCCTTTTCTTCTTCTTCATCATCAACCGTCAATAAGTACTAATCTAACTGCCAGAATAATCTAACGGTCAATAATCCTGATGTACCCTATAATTCAATCCATGCTATTAAAAACCTAAAAGAGCAGTTTCCTAATTCCAAAAATTTCGGCAACTTGGCAGCCCAACCATGTTTTGACTTTTTTGACCGCGTGTCGCACGGTTGCACCCACCACCAATCACCATCAGATCTCCCCCACCACACCAGGTCCACCACTATTACACATGCTCCGCCGCCGCTTTTCACCTCCTTCCGCCGCCAATAACTAACTTATTTCTTACCATAGTTTTTACATAAATATTCTCAAAAAGCAAATTAAAAGGAAAATTAATAGCGCAATAACATTCATTAAGGGCAAAGTGCCCAAGGGGGATAGAGAATTTTCTCGAGAAACAAACAGAAAATAGAGGGAAATGCGATGCGATTTCGAGCAACTTAACCCAAATGTATTCACAAATACTACAATTATTAAAGTGGAGGACGTGATCAGATCCTATTTTTTCCACGAACACATCCATTTGATGATCTAATAGTATATTATTAGTTAAACCCTAACAGATGGAGATTCGGATCTAAATTCAGCACCTGGATTGAGATAGATGATTACCGTGTGCGGCACTAGGCGGCAGGGTTGGCGGCATTGGTGCCGTCGGCGGAGGCTTTGTGTCCCATCATCTTCTTGAACTCCTCGAAATTCACATTCCCGTCGCCGTCGGCATCGACGGTCTTGATCATCCGGTGGCAGTCCTCGATCGTGCAGGGCATGTTGAGGCGGTTGAGCACCAGGTGGAGCTCGTTGGCGGAGATGAGGCCGTTCCGATCCTGGTCGTAGAGATCGAAGGCGTCTTTGAGCTCGGTGACGCCGCCGTCCTTGGGGCCGGCGACCCAGAAGGCGTTGAACTCGTCGAGGCAAATGAAGCCGTCGTTGTCGGTGTCGAGATCGACCATGAATCGCTTGAGCTCGTCGTCGGAGACGGTGGAGCCGAGGGCCGTGAGGACGTTGCCGAGCTCGTTGACAGAGATCTTGCCGTCGCCGTTGGAGTCGAAGCTTTTGAAGACCTTCCGGACCTCGTCGGTGACGGCGGGTTTGGGGTCGGTGGAGGTTGGAGCACCGTTGGTTGCCATGGAGGTTGTGGTTTTTTGGTGGTATTCTCAGAGTCTGCAGATTTGAAGAGGGAAAGGGGGAAGTCTTTGGGTATTTATACAGAAATGGGGAAGGGGAAGTCAGGAGGGAAGGGGGGGTTTTTGGAGCCACCAAGAAAAGCGGGGATAATTATGGAGAGAAACAGAATGAAGGACAAAAATTAGAAATTAAAAAGGAAATTTTATTATTGACCCTTGAATTATAGCCGTGTTCCACTTTAGTCCTTTGAACTTTCAATTTGATTTTGAGCTCGTTGGAAATAACATTCAGTTAAGCGTTTTTTTTAGAAGTATATTGAAAATTTTAAGAAAAGCACAAGTTATTTCTGAATGTAGCACGTGACACATATTTATCGCATAAAATACTTATTTTGTCACATACCGTCAGAAATGTTTTTTGAGTTATATTGAAAGAACTTCAAAATGTTTTCTTGGGTGTTTTGACCCCCAATTTTTACCCCCCCCCACACACACAAAAAAAAAAAAAAAGCCTAAATTTCAATTCATCTTAACTTGTTCTTGTAACTCAATTACCAGAATTCCAAACGTTTGTTAGTTTTTCTTTCGTATACAATATTTTGCTGACGTAGATATTCTTAAAAATGGTTATGTATATTGTACGTGATGAAATTGAAAAAGAATTGCGATTTGAAATTTAGGGAGCTCAAAACCAAATGCGAAGGTAAACGAAGCAATGGAATCTGATTCCTTTGGATAATTGTTGGCGTGTGGGAACAAGTTTCAAAGCGATAACTCGGCGTGGGAGCTTTCCTATTCCACTTTCAAGTTTGGGGAAGACGGAAGCTCGGAAGAAAGCAGGGATTGGAATGGGATGGGATTGATGGCGATTCAATACTCTCACCTTCCTTCATTTCCCAAATACCTTATGTAGACTGGACATACAAATTCATTTTCGATCCATCACACACCTTAAATTATCGTTTTGAATAAAGTAGGTTTTGTATCAAACTCGTTAATCAAAAAATTAAATTAATAACCTTTCGCATGTTAGCAAAACATATTATATTGTTTTTAAATTGTAATACCAGTAGCGACACACGACGTAGTCAAATGCATGGATAACTCTCGAATTATAGTTTTATTTCAAGGTTTTTTTTACATATAATTGTCCCCTTAAAATTGCCATTTAGTCTCATTTTTTTACCTCCTAAAACAGAATTTGTCTAACTTTGTACTTTAAAACTCCCAAAATCGAGTCATTTTCATCCTATTTTCATAAATTATGTCTCGTGGACGCTAAATGAAATAGTAGTCTAGACATTTCAGACTGTGCTAGTAGAGATGAGCTGTTAATTATTATGATCGGTGAAACCTTAAACCTCTGAAACTGCCAAATCTCAGCCAGCGTGGACGAAAACGGGGCTAAATGGCTTGACAATTCAGGGTGCAAAACGAAAACAAAACTTTTATGAGGCAAATTAAAAAATAACCCTAGAAATATTTTTAAATTTGCTATAGAGAGTAAAACTTTCGGAACAAAATAATAAATAAACACGTGACACGTTATCTTCAAAAAATAAAAAAAAGAAGAGTGGCAAAGTTGAAGTGACAAGTGTCACGTCACATGTCACATGAGAAGGTCTTTAAGCTCACTCCAGTAGATATATTGTTTTCCCGCGTTGACGCCACCGCGTGGACGTAGCAGCAGCAGCCGCACTCGGTTTGCACACGGTTTCAGTCCCGCAGTACGCAAAAAGAAAAAAGAATCCAATCGTCAGAGCAATCAACACGTAGCGTTTTCTCTTATCGTTTTCGGCCTTCGGAATGGGCCCCAATGTACGTTGTTGATGTTGATTGAGAAATCTTTTGGTACGAAAAGTGGTAAATGTTGATGCTCTTTTGAAAAAAAGAAAAATTGTAGTAATAGTTGCTCAATTTTAATTGAATTGGAGTAATGATTTTTCAATTAAAAAATTTATGATCATTGGTCTCTTATCTCATTAATGGTCATTTTCGTTAACTCCGTCAAAATAAGTTATGTTAGAAGAACCATTGCTACAATTAGACTAGAGTTGATAGATTGTTGCTACAATTGGGTTAAAGTTGTGAACTATTTCTCCAGTTGGGTTAAAGTTGAGTGACCACTGTTACAATTTTTCTCATTTGGTTTTCCATATTTGCCCCTCGATTTGGTCTCATGTGTGTGGCACGTGACTCATTTTAGCAGAAGTACTAATGAAATTGAAGAAAATGACCATAGTTGCACGTTTGAAGGAGTTAAGGGACCAATGATCATAGATTTTTAGATGAAGAATCATTACTTCAATTAGATAACAATTGAGGAACCATTGCTATAATTTTCATTTTTATTTTTGTCGAAAGTAGATGTTGGTCCTTAAAGTGATAGTATTGGTGCTACGAGTGAGTGACAATGTTGGTGCTTCGAGTGGAGTGACTATTCATTAAGGACAATTACTGTTTATTAGGTGAATTAAATAGTGGATAGCTCTGGGGCCTTTCCCCGGTGGAACTGCTCTACTAAAGTTGGAGAATCAAGCCTAACCTGGAACACTTTCATGCGGAGCGAACGACCGCGGGCTCAGGTTCCCCGGTTTTGAGCTCTGGTACTTGTAAATACACGATTGCACCCTCATTTACAAGAGCAGAATCCAAAAACATGATCATGCTGACTGCGAGATACCTGAATGAATTCGGAGTTTGTAATTCGATTATACTCTTGTATGAATCTCTGTACACCGTTCAATCGATCAGAACTCTTATCCATCGCTCTAATTTGTATACATACATGATACATGTGCTTTACGAAGACTAAACTCCACGTTAAATTCCTTCATCGAATAGGAAACTTCAGACTAAGATACTTTGTCAATGAACAAGTATGCGCCAATTTACCTTATCCATTGGGTGATCGACCATCCGTTCCTTCTGTCAACTCTGTTTGGAGTTCAGCTATTTCTCTAACCTTTCCAATTCACATCATGCCAACATGATCCTATTGTCTCTTCTTTCTCACGGTTCTCTTGTTTCCGAATCGCTCCACTCAATCACACATTTTCTTGCTCATCTACCCCTGTCGCCCATTTATTGATTGAAAATTCGAAACCTCATCACAAGATTGTTTTCTGACACCCTGCAACTTGTCAAGAATCCTCCATGTTACAGAGTCTGGAGCCAGTCCGTTTCTTTTCATCTCTCTTACAACTTCATACGCTTCCTTCCTCAATCCTGATTTGCAAGCAGCGTCAATCACAATGTTATAACTGTATATATTTGGAGAGACCCCAGCATCTACTAGTTCATAAAGGAAATGGCACGCTTCTTCAAACCTCCCAGAACGACAAATCCCTTTGATAAGGGCAGCATAAACAAAATTATCGTGGATCTTTGATGGCCAAATAACCTCATCCCAAAACTTCTTAGCTTCTTCTATTTGATCTGATTCGCATAACCCGTCAATTATTATAGTATAAGTAGTACTGTCAGCAGCCACGTCGTAGTTTGCCATGCCATTGAACAAATCCATTGCTTCTCTGGCTTGCCTATGCTTGAATAAACCACGAAGAACAGCATTGTACGTCACAACATTAGCTCTGAAACCTTTCTCGGGCATTACATGGTACAGCATAACAAGAGCTTCTTGAGTTCTTCCCACATTTATTAAACCACTGATGATCGTTGTGAAGGTCACCACGTCTGGTGAACAAAACTTGCCACTCATCATGTCATCTAGTACCTTTAGCGCTTCCTCGATTCTTTCCATCTTGCAGAACCCATTAAGAACTGTGTTTAGGGTGATCACATCAGGCTGACACTGGCCCTGGAGCATCGAAACAAGTCCATTCAAAAGCTCAGTCGTGTTATTCACAAGACACAATGCTCTCAAATATATGTTATAAATCCTAGTTCTGTCCACTCCTTCCTTCTTTAACATATATTCAAGAACCTCTCTTGCCTTCTTGACGTCCGATTCTTGGCACAGACATTCCAATAGGACCTTGTAAGTGTACTCTGACGGAAAGTAACCAAAGTTCACTCCTTCCTCTAGCAACTGATAAGCCCTCATGCAACCTCCCTCTCCCTCCTTGCTCAGTCCATGCAAAATGGAATTATACGACGTTAGCTTTGGAACAAACCCTCTACTCCTCATAATATAAACAATCCTGGACGCCCCATGATGCCTTCTGGCTTTACAAAGCGAATCTATCATTTGTCCATAAGCAAAATCCTCTGTCACACAGCCCTGTGGCATATCTTCCCCAATGTCAAACACTTCATTAAAAAACCCTTCACTACACATAGAATCAATGAGATTCCCAAAAGCCGCACTCTTTACAGTCTCATCATCTTCACCTTTCATGATCTCCCAGAGCTTTCCCATCAATTCTTTTGCACGCCCAACATCCCTCTGCCGAAGAACACCACGAATCATCACGCTATGCGTCAGGGAATTAGGCGCCACTCCCCTTTCACTCATTTCATCGAACACCTTCTGCGCATCACCCAACGCACCAATCAAACAATACCCATTGATCAATGTAGTGTAAGAAACAGCATTCGGACAATGCCCTCTACTAATCATATCAAACAACACTCTATGACCCTCACTGGGTCGTAAGATCGAGCAAAATTGGTCGATCAAACGGTTGTAATTAACCAAAGACGCCACGAAATCGGGCTTAAAATTTGTCAAACAGCGCAGAACACGCAATGTGGCATGTGGGGTTTTTGAATCCAGCAACCGAGCAACAATAACATTGCAAGTGCGCTCGTCGGGGGCGCAGTCGGAAGCTACATAGTGGCCAAAGCGGTGGTGGGCTTCATCGAAGCGGTTGGAGTCGCAGAGGGCGTGGACGATGCTGCTGAGGTTGAGGGAGTCGGGACGGTAGCCTTGAAGGCGGAGGCGGTCGAGGAGGCGGAGGGCTTCGTCGACGTCACGGTGGGTGGCGCAGAGGCTGTGGATTTTTTTGGTGAAGTATGATCTGTTGTCTTCTATGCTGATTGCTTGGTCTTGGTGGAGGTGTTGCGGTGGTTGTTGATCGGAAGGTGGTGAGGTTGTGAAGTGGAATGCGAGAGGTAGTGTTAGGGTTTTTGGGGTGATTAGGGTTTTAGATGAGGGAATGCTTGTGAGGAACATGGTGTGTTTGCATGCTTGTGCAATCATATGTTGTTGAGATCTTCTTGGTTGGAAAGCATGCAAGAAGGGGGACAATAAGAATACAAATTGCTGGGTGACTGCTCATCTCATCATATTTAAGTGATTTGGGCCGAAGGATCTGTGGATTGTTTCTCTTGGAAAATAAAGTCCAAAGCTTCTAAACATTGGGTTCGTACTAGATTTTGTTAGTCACCTATCTAATACACGAGAGGGTCTTCTATACGACACTCGAAATTCGGTGTTTGTAAGAGGTGAGTGTTTTTGTGTCTGCGGCCGCACAGACACTGCTTCGGTTATTGAATTCTAGAATTTCTCCTAATGCAGTAGTGAGTCTCACCTCTATAAATGGAGTCCACCTTTATCAAATAAGTGGTTGGTAAATGTAATCCACATAACATTATTCTTTTCTAGATCAAAGCATAATATACACAATAATCCTTAATTGTTACAATCTAACTATTAAATCTTTAACCGCACATTCAATCGTTAATTGAACTATTTCGTATTATGAGTAGGTCTACTCTAGAATTTGGAAAAGAAAGAGGAGATGTGTGTCCGTTTCTGTGGTGGAATCCATCCATGCTTGGAGCACTGTGAATTATCTGGATGATTGAGTCCAATGTGATTTGTTTCATAGGGATTTGGATCCTCTCATGAGCCCAAGGAGAGGATCCTCTTGACCAAGACACTCGTGTCTTTGGATTTTTATCTAACGGCTACAAATAAGGAGGTTTTTTAAAATTATAATAATTATAGCCGTTGAATGAAAATTCAATGATTCACGTGTCTTGATCATGAGGATCCTCGCTCAGGAGAGGATCCAAATCTGTTTTATAGGACGGTTAGTGTCAGTATATTAAAATTATTGTTCTTGGAACTTTGCAGGAATCAGGATATAATGTTTTGTTTGATAATTATAAGCTCCCAATTTAAAAGAAAACACTGCTTTGGCAAAAATGTCAGAATGCACAGTCAATTTAAAAAAATAAAAATAAACATGGATCCAATTTAAAAAACAAAAATGTAATTCTTACCACGTATTTATATCATTATTTACGGATTTTGGATTCTTTGGATCTTAGTGTTTGGAACTTAAGGGTCAAGAAATCCAAAGTCTTAGTTTGTGCGAAAGAGAAACTGAAGTTTTTTGTTTGTTTAAGGTAAATCAATAGGATGAATTAAGAGGAACTATAGGAATTAATTTGAATGGTCCGGATTACCTTGTTTTTGACCTCCGACGATAAAATCTAAAGTAAACCTCTGTCCCATTACTTGCTAGCCAATTGTTTATTTAAAGAAAAACTAATGAAAATGACTTGAATACTTTGAGTTTTAACGATAAGGACAAAATAAAGGGTAAATTGAATAGTACCAGGATTGATTTTTTATTGTAAAAATATGATTTTTTGTTAAAGTGAACAATACCGAGAATTTTTGGTTAAAATTTCCTTTATTTAACAAGTAATACAATTTTTTTAAGACATGACAAATAAATATTAAACAGTAACGCCACTAAAATGGATAAGAAAGTTTCTACTCCAAACGTTCTTATGTCTGCAGAGGTTACCATAATTTGACGATCTATAATTAATTATTTTCGAGCAACCACGTGAAATTATGGAAGATGGAACACTTCATAGATGAAGGAATCAATGGGGAACATGGGACCGGGAAGGAGTAAACAGGAACAGTAGTAGTAAAAAGCAAGAGTGATAGATTGATGGCCCCAAACTCAAAGGCAAGACCAATAATGGTAAAAGAAATCATCTTCGAAGCTCTTTCATCAAAATAACTGGATCAAGTGGTTTGGATATTTGAAATTTCATCCAACAGTCTATTTATTTTGATTTTTAAAAGCTATAATAATTTTTGACCGTTAAATGAAATTTTAAAAATCTAAATCATTTGATTCGGTGACTTTAATAGAAGAGATCGGAGCTTTTTTCCAACAGTGGTGGTGCACGAACACCAGTAACGAGGGCAAATAAACGCTCCTGAATTTTTTACACTAAAATCTAGATCTGCCATTGGATTAGGTGTGTGGATCGGAGGTGATTGAGAAAATCAGTAACAGTCTGCAGACAATTGGATACCAAAACTGGCACACACTTTTAAGTTCGCAGTCGTATAGAACTGAGAATACTCATTTTACGAAAATACCCCTCACTTTCCCATATAATCACATCCATACATTACAATATAGCAGAAATACAGATACCCCTAGACCCTGCAACTAAACCATAACCATAAACTGAAGGTTAACAGAGCATTAACTCAGTATTACGGTATTAATTAACCCATAATTTAACCTGCTATATGGATTAACTTAATTAACTACAAGGTAATAATAATTGATTAAGGTGGAAGAGATGAGATCAACGGTGGTGAGGGCAGAAGGTGACCAAGTAGTTCCCGCGGGTGCAGGTGGCGATGCTGGTGGGGTCGTCGTAAGCGTACGAGTAAGCCTTGGGGCACGCTGCCTTGAAGATCTTGGAGTACGCCGTCGGCTTGCACGACTGAGGGCTGCCGAAGCTGCCGGTGCAGCAGTATCTCGGCGAGTTGAAAGCGGAGCAAGCGCTCTTGCACGCCACCACTCTGCGGTTGTCGTGGGAGCGGACTTGGAGGCCCACAGGGCACATCATGTTCAAGTCGCTGACGCAGCCGGCGTAGCTGCACTTTCCAGAGCCCTTAAAGGGGGTGATGGAGATGGCAAGGTTGTAGCCGTCGACGAGGCTTACGTCGTAGAAGTCTTGGTCGTTTCCGAGTGTGATTTCGGCTAGGGTGGCGGGTGGGGTACCTCCGAGGCCGCTGCAGAAGAGGTTTCCGCCGCAGTCTCCGGTGGCGCAACGGCCGCGGCCGGAGGCGTCGAAGGCGCAGCCGTGGCGGCCCCAGAAGCGTCCGGACCAGAGGCGGGGGAGGTGGAGTGTGTGGGCTTTGTTGGGTGGGAGGGTGAAGCCGCCGCGAGCGAGGAGGGGCTGGCCGGCGCTCGGCTGGATGCCTGGCCACACTGGGTGGGTGCACTTGTTGTACATTGTTAGTGTTGTGGCAGAGGAGACCGAAACTGCATTTAGGTCACACAGGAAAGATCATCAAGCTAGAAGATTAACTTGGTCTATGCAAAAATCAAATGTAAAAGAAACGAAGCCACATTTTGTTTCAGAGAGAGAAAATATAGAATATAGTATGATTTCCGCATGCACATTTTCTCAACGACGATTAACAAACAAGAGTGTGCAGAGAGATCAGCGTGTGCGGAAATTATTTTCCTAAACCATAGACTCCGTATATATAGATGGATTTTTATGCATACCAAGAACGTGGAGAAATAGGAGGGTGGAGAGCATGATGGGGAGGCTAGTCTTCAGCAATGCAGCCATAGCTGAGGCTTGAGAGATTAGGAGCGAAGAAAACAGGGTTGCTATGCTTATGCAAAGCATTCTCTGTAAATGGATGGAGATAGGGAGGGGTTTTATAGAGAAAAAAGAAAAGGGATAAAAGTCAAGAAAAGCAGAAAGGGAAAGGTTGGGCAACTAGTAATTACCAGAGAGTGAATGGTGAGTAACTTTATTTTGAAATGTGGAAAAAATGAAGATGGTTGAAATGTCTGTACCAAAATAAATAAATCAATGGTTGAAATGTGGGCCTATACTTTGATATGTAGGGAAATTTAGAAGCATAATATCCGCACTTCTTTTTATTTTCTACACATTATTTTTAATTTTCGATCATCAAATTTAATGAATTGAAGAAGATTAAAAGATAAAAATTAATAAAGGATGTGTAAAAAGTAAAAATCAGGAGGAGAGAGAGATGACTGGGTAATGCAATGCAATGCAAAAGAAATTTTGTAGTGTAATTGATGAAATGAATCGTTATAACACGTGTCAATGTTATAATTTAAGTAGAGTGATGCTCAAAAATATTTATCTTCACTTATATTATAACACATATTATATTGGCTCTGAGCAAATTTAGACCATTTAAGGATTAGAAAATACAAGTCCTTAGTTTGTGTGAAAGAGAAATCAGAGTTTTTGATTTTTGTAAGATGAGCTAGCGAAATGTGTTAAAAGAGATTGTTGAATTCAATTCAAATGGTCTAGATGGCCCTTTGACTCCGACCAATAAGATCCTAAGTCGATCTCTATAAGCCCCGAGCATATAGAAAAAAATATGGCAATGCAGAATACAATTGAGATAATTTTCTTTCCTCCTAATCTCTTTGATTTCCTTCTTCCCTATTTGAACGGCTGCGACAAACAACAAAGTACGAGAGGAATGGAAGATAGAGAGAAACCGAGTCTGAGTGCAATTGCGAGGTGAGTGAGTCGTGACTGACAAACTACTCATACTTCAAGAATATGTGTCAGAGGGTAAGTGGGGGAGGGTTTGTCTGTGACAAATAAGAAAAAGAAGCCTAAATAGTGTGGCACTTTTACACATTCACATGGGAGAAGGAGAATCAAAGTGGTACTCCATGTGGCTTTTGGAAAGAAAAAAAGAGAAGTGGTGGTACTGTATATTGGTACAAACAACGCTACCCAATGACTGTATACACTCCGAATACCTGATATACCGGAAGTTATAAAGAGATCACAAATGGCCATCTTTTAATGAGTTTTTGGAACACCAGAAGTTCGTTTAAAGTTGTATTTGATCTTCTAAACATCATTAAAACACTACAATTTATATGTCTAATATCATGGTAAACTTTTACACGTGACAGCATATGACTAGCTTCAAATATTACGACAGTATCATGGAATGGTTCGAACTTGGACGAATGATTTGTAGTGCGTTCGCCAATTGATCTACTCAAGTTTGCAAAATGTTATGGCGTTTTTGTGGTAGGTACTCATTATTGAAGATGTCACGTGGATCTCATATCTTTATTCAAGCCTGCAACAAAATTAAAGGAAAGTAGACATTATTGAGTGCAGGGCAGATGTTCATTGGGACAAAGGGCGGATGTTCATTCGACGTATGTTTGATATCACTTGTCATATGCACATGAAAGACGACAACAAATACGTGAAGTGTTTGAAGAAATGTTTTAGTGAAAATACTGAATTTTTCTTGAATTTTTAAAATTGAGACTCTTAAAATTCAAATTCTGAATGCATCACTGATTGTGTGTGTGTGTGTGTGTGTAGAAAGCATTGGCTCCAGGTGCTGGTCTACATAATTCTGTGTCCCTCATCAAATCATACCTCAATAGGCATTTGAAAAAATCAACGGCTGAAATGTGTAAAAGCTGCATGGCATCCTTGGTGGTCCTGCACAAACGCAG